TATATATATATATATATATTTATTTATTTATTTATCTATCATTAATATTTTAGAGTCTCTGTTTATCCATCTCACACAGAGAGCGGTACCTGACGACATATCGTTGGGGTTTGTCAAAAAGTGAGGAAAATAACTCGAACTCGGAGTTGACTCGCTTCTGAACTCACCCCAGATCTGCTTTGATCCAAGAGGTGCATTTTTTTTTAATTCTTATCTGGGAACTTTTGTTTTGATTAAATATGATCAGGGTTTTTGTCAAATTTTTCGTTTAGTTTGAATCTCAATTGTCATTATGGAAACTAGCCCATGCTGTCTAACGTGTTTTTTTTTTTTGAAAGAAATCTTGCGATGCTTATGTAATTTCTTCTCATTTTTGTTATTTTGGAAGCATTTTTGTGATTTTTTTGGAGTTCTGGAAAGTAAAAAGAAAGGGCTTTTGGATTAATTGTTGAATAAAGTGTCTTTGCTGCATTCAATATGTTGTGTTTATTTGGATCTGATGTTTATGACAATTTCACATTGTTCTGTCAATTTGAAAGTTTAGTTTCCGAATCACAAACTCATGACTTCCTTTCTCTCACCCCCATGGTATGAATGAATTCATATAATTGATAATTTATTATGATACAAATCATGTACCTTCATGGTTCCGATGAATTATTCTTTGTTCTTTGCCACGGCAATTTGTAAAACTAAACACGGTAACGCCATAAATTTTGTCCAAATCTCTGCCTGTTCTTTTAGGTCATACTTTCTTTTTCATTTTTCATTTTTTGTTTTGGTGAGAAATGAGGATTATGAATTTTACTGCTTGAAATCTTGGAGGATGTGATGTATATATTCCCAAAGAATATTGAAAACTATTGGTTAAGAAGAAATTTAAGAGTGGGAGGAGATATCCACTTGATCTATGTCATCTGAGTTTTTCAGAAATATTTGCCTAAAAGTTCCACATCTGAAGCTCGGCCTCTAATGATTTTGAGTTAGGATTTGAAATATCTTCATTGACAGTTTTGAAAGATCTTTTAGGAATTTTTGCTATAATAACATGTAATATAATTTTAGTTGTTTCCAACTTCATTGGGAATAAAGCTTAGTTTGTTGTATTAAAAAACTTACCTCCGAAACTCTTCTATAACATGCAATGTATTGTGGTGCACACTTTGTAGTCTAAAACAGGAAATTCACTATAAAGTTCAGTGGATTTATCACTCTCATTCAAAGATCCAGCCTGTTGTATAGCTGGAAGCTTGTTTCCATCCCAGCTAAACCTTTTTTTACACATTCTCCTGCCTCTTTAGCACTCTATGTCCTTTTATGATGCATATGCAAAAAATTGGCTGTTTCCCCGTAGCTTTAAATTTTCTTTACTACTCCTTGCACCTGCACATTCATGTGAGTTTCATCTAAAACGGACATGACCGATTGATGACTTTCATGAAAATGAGACATCTATCATCATATCCCATTACAGATGTCAATATTGAGTTCCGTAGAGCTGCATGCTTCTTCCTCTTTATTTTTATTTTTTTGCATAAATACAGAGACTGTACCTCATATTTTAATAACACTGGATTGAAATTCAGGCTGTTTTGTTAATAAGATAAAAGGAGATCATCTAATTCTCAGGATGAAGGCTCTAATTCTAGTTGGAGGGTTTGGTACTCGATTGAGGCCATTGACACTCAGTTACCCAAAGCCTCTTGTTGACTTTGCTAACAAGCCCATGATCTTGCATCAGGTATTATATTCTGGATCCATTTCTTTTTTTCAGCTTTGCATATTTAATTATATCTACTCTTTTTTATAGTCATTTTCCCATGGACTTTGCTAAATAGTATATATTTTTATGCACATTCCAGGTTTACCAATCCTGATTGTAAACAAATTTCAGCATGGTTTGCCAATTTAAACTCGTTATGTGTATTATACAATAACAACCTATGTCTCCAGTTTCAAATTTTGTGAGTGGAATTACATTCTCGAACCAGCTGCTATCAGAATCAGGGGTTTATCAATATCTTTAAAAGTAGACCAATTTTTCAATTGTAGTTTAATTTTTGGTTGAGAAGTTGTGTTAAGAAACATGAATATTACTATAAACTTTTGATCTGTGTCAATTATTTGGTATCTGAGTTGCGGTACATCCTGTTCTCGTGCATGTACATTTTGTGCCGACTCCCCTCCATCACCCCACACCTAACTTTGTGTATGCCATGTTAACTATTCCATTTTTCATTGAACCAGATAGAGGCTCTCGAGGCTGTTGGAGTGACTGAAGTCGTCCTAGCTATCAATTATCAGCCAGAGGTAACTGCTTTACATTTTCATTCTCTTCTTGCTTGTTCATTATAGTAATACAAATTATAGATCAGGTAAAAAAAGGAGTCGTTAACGGAAAGCTGGTCTTCTTTTTGCAGGAAATGCTGAACTTCTTGAAAGACTTTGAGAAGAAACTTGGGATCAAGATTACATGCTCACAAGAGACTGAGCCACTCGGAACTGCAGGTCCCCTCGCTTTGGCTAGGGATAAACTGGTAGATGATTCTGGTGAGCCCTTTTTCGTTCTCAACAGTGATGTTATTAGTGAATACCCACTCAAACAGATGATTGAATTCCATAAATCCCATGGAGGCGAGGCTTCCATAATGGTGACCAAGGTAAGGTCCTGTTTAATATTAGTCCCAAGTTAAATTTTCCAGAGGGTTATTTTTGAAGTCAGATTTAATTGAAGTTAAAACTTGTTAATGATATAGGTGGATGAGCCTTCAAAATATGGTGTCGTTGTTATGGAAGAATCAACTGGGCAAGTGGAGAGGTTTGTTGAGAAGCCAAAATTATTTGTGGGTAACAAGATCAACGCTGGCATTTACTTGCTTGATCCTTCCGTTCTTGATCGTATTGAATTACGCCCCACATCAATTGAGAAAGAGGTGTTCCCAAATATTGCAAAAGAAAAGAAGCTTTATGCAATGGTCCTTCCCGGGTTTTGGATGGACATTGGACAACCAAGGGATTACATCACTGGCCTGAGACTATACTTGGACTCCTTGAAGAAGAAATCTTCTCCTAAGTTGGCCTTTGGACCTCATATTATTGGAAATGTTCTGGTAGATGAGAGTGCCAAAATTGGGGAGGGATGCTTGATTGGACCTGATGTCGCAATAGGGCCTGGGTGTGTTGTTGAATCGGGCGTTAGACTGTCTCGATGCACGGTAATGCGTGGGGTCCGCATCAAGAAACACGCATGCATTTGTAGTAGCATCATCGGCTGGCACTCAACTGTTGGGCAGTGGGCTCGAGTGGAAAACATGACAATCCTTGGAGCAGATGTTCATGTTGGTGATGAAATTTACACCAACGGAGGCGTGGTTTTGCCTCACAAAGAAATAAAATCTAGTATTTTGAAGCCAGAGATTGTAATGTGAAAAGTTTGTTTCTTAGTAAATTAAGCTATTCTGTATTTGGGGTGGTTTTTTTTTTTTTTTTCTATATCACAATAATCCCCTAAGTCCAAGCATGATTATTTATGTAATGGTTAGAATTTGAAAATGCATCTGATCCTCTGGGAGATCTTATGTAAGTGGTTTCCGAGGTGGTTGCCTTGATAATATGTCATCTTGGGAGCGATTTT